GAAGCAGAGAAAAGACTCTTTTTCAGCCAAAAGTACAGTCAAATTTTGCATAAAACATTAAGATCTCAACATCTCCGGTCACAGTCTCCAAAGATCTTTAGGCTTTGCATGCTTTACAGTAATTGGAACCTTTCATCGTGAATTTGAATTTGTAGAAATAAAAATCAAAGAGCTGTTTTTAAAAGCTAAAGAGTTGGGTTCCAGTGTTACAATATACTTCCATAGATTTGTCACATCTTTATGGGATTTTCACGGAATAAAGGTAAGGGAAAGAACAATTCAAGGTCTGAGGAATTGAGATAGTGTATAAACCAATCTTGGCTCTCTCAGAACTCTAAGAGAAATGTTTGAGTGTAGAACCATGATGGCCTTTTCTAGCCCTCTCTTGGTTTTAATGTAGAGACAATTTGTAAGTTTGAAATGCAACTAATGAATTACTGTTGGTATCACACACACACACACACACACACACACACACACACACACGAATCTGTAACAGAAGACAAGATTAAACTAAGAGTATTTGTCTGTCCCTGAGTGATTAGTGAGAAACTAACACATTTGCTTGGCTATAACTGATGTGTCATTTTAAAAATTGGTGTAAATACTGATGAGAGCATTTCCATTAGAGCCAGCAGGAGACTCCACTGTAGTGAGACTAAAGAGAAAGGAAACTTTTGTCTTCTGATAAACTACAAATAAAAGACTGCATCTGGATCACCAGCAGCAGGAGGTCTGAGGGCAGAGCTGGATGTTCTGGCGTCGCCAGTGACAGCCCCTTACTCTCTGTGCCGCTCTGGACTCCCCTTTTCCCTGAATCTTCTTTTACTTATCCTCTATCTGACGCAGGCGAGTTTGAGGGGAGGATTCACCCTTGATAGGAGGGAGGTTTTCCCAGTTTGTGCTCACATACTTCTGGTAAATTGCTTGAGTCTGGTCCCTCTGCAGCGTTTTAGTCTCTTACATGCCGAGAGGTGAACCAGTGGAGTGGCGTAGTCGGAACACCCAAGCAAGCTGAATTGAGAAGTAGGTACTTTCTGCCTTGATGCTCCACTTACCTCCACATCTCACCAAAGTACCTCATTTAACGCCTGTAGGTACAGACACAGTCTTTAACCTGCCGTGAATCTGGAGTATCTGGCAGACATGGTGGTCTCGTGGGTCTGCCTCATTGGCACCCACTTTGCAGGTAGGCACGTGTTTCTTCTTTGCTGTCTGTGAACGGTGGTGACTGAGTGATTGGAGGAAACCAGGGATTGGACGTTCTTAATGTGTAAAACGTTAGGTTCCTTTGAGAGCTTTATTCATTATCCGTTGTCAATTAGTAGACTGCAAGCACATTGCTTTCTGTATATTAAAGCCAAGTTTTCCACTGTTTTTCTCTTCGTTTAGAATTTAGGGAAAAATAATTAACATGGCTTATGAGTAGGGTCTCTCACCATTGATCAGTGGGAATTCCAGCTATACAGTTAGAATTCAAGAATGCTGCTATTTAGTTGATATTAGATCCAGAGCGTTTTATCTCTACTTGTCCAATATTCGTTAATGTATTCATTTGTGCGTTCACACTTTCAATAATTCCTCTGATGTTTGACGACTGCAGAATATATGGGACGTCTGTGTTGGAGCTTTAGCATCTAAGGAGTACATTCTGTCCTTGTACCCAGCGGGGAGCAGGAGCAGGTGATCAGAGGAAAGGATCAAGTCGAGGCAGCCAGGGATTATCCAAAGGTCTTCAAACAGGGAAGCCAGCCAGTGCCTGGAGGTTGGTTATGACAGGGAAGAATGGGCAGATCATGGCCTGAGCCACATGAAATCCTCTAGTGTAAGTGTGTCAGGGTGAGCTAAGAGCCCTGGTAGGGATGCCGCTGAAAAACTTGTAGTTACTATCATAACAGTGGTTGGTGACTTTGCCCTCTAACCTTCTGTCATATTCTTTCCTATTCTGAAGGTGCCCGTGTCAACTGCTGAGAGTCATAGTGGTGCCAGAGCTTCCCCATAGGAGAAGCTCTCAGACTTTTGGGGAAGCAGAGCAAAAGATCTTGGAGAAAACTAGGGCCAGATTCACAGCGGAGGTAACCTTTGCTGAGGGACTGAAGGATGGCCACGACTTTTCTCTTACTTTTAAGAGCCCCATGAAATTGATCTGAAGAGCACTGAGTGGTTGCCCTGTACTGGGTGTCCTTAATCTCCAAAAGGTTCCTGTTGCGTGCACACTTCCTTGGCCTCGTGCCTGGAGCTGAAGCGTATCTGAGACCTTGGAAAAGCTTGAACCTGCTCTTTCGGCCCAAGACCACTGTTTCTTACTCCTCCACAAGTCTTTCATTAGTGTTACGTTATGTACACGATGATTTAAGACACTCTTCCAAAGATAGGTAGCCCACTTTATATTGAGATTTATAATCTCTGTCACAATAGGCACAGTATATCAGCACAGTGGCAGAATTTCTCTGCCTCCCTCGCAGAAGCCAGCTGCTGGGTTTATCAGCCCGCAGTGTTGGCATATGCAAGGAGTTTGAAAAGGAGAGGGAGGCAAGGTGACATATAAATTAATTTAGAAAACACTTTGAAGTCATCCAGCTGTCCCTGTTCCTATTTTTTTTAAATCACCAGATGTATTGGAATTATAATTTTCCCCAGCTTTGAGGTAGAAAAGCTGCCTGCCACAAAGCCTTAGTGGACATCCCCCGTGAAGCAGTGTGTTTGAGTCCAGCATAGCTTGAATCAAGTCAGAGTACAGGGAGCTTGCGTTTAGGGGGCTAACTCAAAATTTGTGCCTCCTTTCTTAGCGTCTATTGTGGTTTCACTTGAAATATGAGGCCGCGGTGTGTACTAGTTAGCTGTCTGGAGATGGAGTTCCAGAGAATTAGATCACTTGGAAACGCAAACTGAAGGCGATTTGGCAAAAATGCAGATGGGATGTGATAAGGAAGACAGAGTCTGAAATGTGGCAAGCAACTTTTGAAGGATTTTCTTCTTCCTCCCGCCTCCCACTCGTCACAGATCTGCCTGGTGGAACTCCCTGCCCAGTGCCCCCGTGTCTCTAATGGGAACCGTCTGGTTCCTCTCGCGGGAACTGCTGCAGGCACTGCTCTGGGCTGGGTCTAAGAAGTTGCATTTAGGCTGTACAATAGTCCACTCAGACTGTCACAACAAAACGCCGCAGGCTGTGCAGCTTAAGCAGCAAACAGCCATGTTCTCACACCTCTGGAGGGTGGAAGTCTGAAGCTAGATGTTGGCAGAGTTGGTTGCTGAGAGACCTTTCTCCATGAGTTGTAGGTGGCTGTCATCTTGGTGTCTTCGTATGGCTTGTTCATGTGTGACTGTGACCTCATCCCTTCTTACAAACAAGGCTCGCTTGGTCATTGTTCACCCTAAAAGATTCTTTTTTACATTAATTACTCTTAAAAGTCTCTGCATCCAAATATGCATTCACATTTTGAGGTCTTTAACCCATGAATTTGGGGGAATAAAATTCAGTTCGTAAAGGTCGAGACCCTTGGGAAAGAGATGTGCTGAACAGTGTGTTAATGCTTTGCAGAAGCAGTGTCCAGACCTATTGCAACCCTGGGCAATAAAGTCTCTTCACCTGCAGCATGTATGTGTAACTGGTGATGGTAAAGTTTAAGTGCTTTTGTGTATGTTTATTTGTTGAGTTCCTGCTGTATAGGAGGGTAAGATAGGCACTACTATGTCCACTTTCCAGAACGGGAATCGGAAGCCCGGCAGGTTGGTTAGGGAGCTGGTCCCAGGTGGCTCAGCCGTGTTCACTTTCCCTCATACCTTCCAGATCCAAATGCCTAGAACCACATAACCCAGAAAGTGCTTCAGTGAGATTGGGATGGGTTAGTCACCGGGGTTGCTGCATTTGAAACTTAGCAAGAAGTACCAGCTACTCCTTCATACCTGAGTCCTCCTTATAAAGAATTGTATAATGTGTGTAAGCCTCTTTATGCAAGTAGGTGATCCTCATTCCGAGATTCTGTATTTGTAAATTTGCCTACCTTGCTAGCATTTGTTTGTTAACCCCAGAACAGTGCTTTTAGAGAAATTCTGCAATCATTCAGACTTGCATAGAGCCCCAAAAAGGTTGTTGCCTGAAGCACATATTCTCCACTGAGTTTGAAAGAGACAACCTTGGACTTCTTTCTTCACTTCTGACTAAAAACCGGTGTCCTTTTCATGGTTTTTTTCTATCACATTTTCACTTTTTTATTGGTGGTTTGACTGTGTATAAGGCAACTGCCAAGTATAGCACTGAAGTAGGCAGAGGAGTGAGGCTTTTCAGTAAGAATGCCATGTTCAGCGATACAAAATTGTTTTGCTTCTGACACATTGAAGGATAGAAGGAGGTGCCCCTGTATTAGAAGTTTCTATTTAATCATAAGGAATCAAAATACTAGTTTTGATGTGTCACCCTTTATCACAGACTATTTTGGGGGCTTTTCCTGTTTTAACTTAATTTAATACAGTATTTATTCCACCCAACTGTCCTCAAGCATTATAATGATACTGTTCCCATTTGACGGATAAGTAAACCGAGGCACAGAAAGATTAAGATACTTGTGAGATCTCTAGGGATTTGCAGAGCTGGCGTTTAAATCTTAGGTTCTCCGATGTCAAGGCGTATCCTCTTCACTACCTCTCTTCTTAGGAGAAGCTACGCTTTTCTTTGAACAAACACGTAGCTCTTGATATCTTGTCCATCAGCTATTTCAGAACATTTTAGTTAAGATGTTACAGCGATTTATTGTTGTGGCTTGTGCTGCAGAATTATATCTGAAGTTCTATTTGACTTCGTTTCATTGGGGATGGTATACATTATCTTACAGACCATTCATTATTCTGTAGAGATTTTTTGTGGCCAGCTTTCGAGGGATTTTGAAAGAATGAATATGTGTCAGGTCTCTGCCTAGGCAGTGTCGTTTTTGAGGCCATTGTTTAGCCTAGAGAATAATCATCAAAACCACCGGAGAACCTCCTCATGTGCTTCTTTGCAGAAAACCACTCTGCACCTCCCGATGTAACCACGTACACCTCAGAGCACTCAATACAAGTGGAGAGGCCACAGGGCTCAACGACCTCTCGGACAGCACCAAAGTATGGCAATGCCGAGCTCATGGAGACGGGGGATGGTGAGTACCGTGGCAGTTGTTTCTGCTGTTGTGCTTTTCTGTGCCTGTGAGTGGATGTGTTTCTTCTTGATACACCACGGATTCATTGATTCTAACTTCAACAGAATCCTATGACCTCCCATACAACCTTCTTCATTAGCATGTAAGCACAAGAAATGCAAACTTTTTCTCAGTTGATCAAGAACTATTCATTAAGGAAAAAATGTAACTTTTGCAGAAAGTCAGTCATGCTAGGAAAAATTAACATTTGGTGTTTTTGCTAATGAATAGCTAATGTCTGAATAATTAAAAACTGGAGTACAAGTGTTAAGTTGTTTGTTTCCTAGAAGAATAAGATGAAGTTAAATGTAAAAATCATTGACAGATACAAGTACGTAGTACCTTAGACTTTTTGTTCAGGTTAGACAAAAATTTAAGAATATATGCAGTGGAAGTCTCGCTCTATTTTTCATACTTTTGGCCTTGGGGTGTTGTGATTATAGTATTTCCAGAACTCAAATGCAAAGCAGCAAGCCTGGACGTGTACTTTCTTTTGTATTCTCCTTTTCTGAAGTCTGTTTTTTCCCAAAGTCATAAGTTAGAACAAAACTCATCAATAAAATTAATTGAGTTTTGTGTTTGAAAGATGGACAAAATATTTTTGAGGTGCCGTCTGTGTCACTGAGTTAATGTTGTGGGACCTGGATCATTCACAGTTGGAGAGACTTGGTCCTAGTCCCTCGCAGACAACATGCCTTCTGCAGCCCAGAGCCCTAAAGTCACTCGTTTGTGAGCTATTCCATCAGTGCGACTGAAATGACTCCATTTCTAATGTGATTGGTTTCCCTTGAATGCTTTTCAGTTTGCTTTAGAACTCTGATAAACTTTTCCTTTACTAGATACGTCCTTGTGAATAATAACTTTATCAACATTGAAATCTTAACACTTTTGCCTTTGTTCCCCCAGGCAGTTTCTGCATTATACAGAGTCCACCAAGAAACTGGATACACACTTCAGGAAAAGAAAAACTTGTATAAATACGTCAATAATAAATTTATTGAGACATCATAAGATTAATACAAGTTACCTTTGGCCTCTGCTGTTACACGATATGCTCAAAGTAGTGGCCATTACCTTCCAGACTTTTATTAGAATGGTGAACTGCTATTTGAGTAAGCTTGGTCATTGTGATTGCTTGTACCTGCATTTTCAGTTTCTTTTCTAAGGGTGGGCAGTATGGTGGGGTTTGTGCAATATATGACATTCTCTAGGGTTCCCCATATGAAGGTAACGCCAGCTGTTGAAAGCACATCATACTATTTTTATTTTCCTGAAGTGCATATACATTTATTTGGTGGGCTCTGGGTATTGGGTAGTTAGGTGTTTCTCTACATGAGATGCCCCTTCATTAAGATCACACAGGAGTACTTTTTGATACAGATTCTGGGCTCCACCCAAGACCTAATCAATCAGAAACTCTGGGGTGGTCCAGGAAAGATTTGTCGAGTCTAAACTAACCTTGAGAACCACTGGCCTTCTTGTGAAATGATCCTTGATTTATCTGAACCAAATTAGTTGGGATACTTAATGGAAAAATAGTTTGTTTAAGATACTGAGAATTCTGGATGGTATATTTTTATGTAGTTTCAAACTATAAAATTTTTAATGTCTCAATTCTGATGATATCTATATAATATTTATGAGTGCCTGTTCAAATTATGTGGTTCTTAGTAGTTTTTCCTTGAGTTCTATCCTATGCCAAAATATTTGTTTCAACTGTGATGGTCAGTTTATCTACCCCATGGTTCTCATCTTTCAGGAGTACCTGTAAGTAGCCGGGTATCAGCAAAAATTCAGCAGCTTGTCAATACCCTCAAACGACCTAAACGACCACCCTTACGAGAGTTCTTTGTGGATGACTTTGAAGAATTGTTAGAAGGTGAAAGAACCCTTTTCCACTGCTGTTTCTTTTAGATGTCCCAATACTCCCATAAAAAGTGATTTTTTTCCTGTATGGCTATTTTGTTTAAGAGCGATAACCTTGACCTTCATTAGTTGATAGAAATCTAGAAAAGGATGATCGGTTTGTTCTCAAATGGGTACCTGAAAGGTTCACCAAGCCCTGTACAGTTGGGTAGTGCTCAAAACTGATTGTTTGCTTCAGCAGAATGTGATTTCTGTGAGCCTGGCCTCCTTTTAAGGATGCTATCAGGTTTTAGAAATGCGAAATTAAATTATCCAAAACCTTCGCTCACAACAGTGCAGCTTTCTCTGAAACATGTTTGTGAAGACTCCGCAGCAAAAGCATGGAAGGTGGCCCTGTACCCCTCTTCCTGCTTCTCTGAGAAACAGATGCTTGTTCCTGGCCCTGGAATGCTTGTGAGCCTTTTAACACAGGCACATTGAAGTTGAAACAGAATAAAACATTTCTTCTGTACCACACTCAACGTCCTTATTTTCTTGTTTATTAAACGGCAAGTAAGAGTAACTGATTTTTCTGGCCAGGAGGCAGAAATAGATCATGAAGTGTGAGAGAGAAACTTTTTCTAGAAATGGGAGAAATGCTGTAATTTCAGTTTCCATCTGTTTAAACAAAGGACGTGGAAGTTTATTTTCTGTTACGATGCATTTATTTTAGTTTTATTCTGGAAAAGATTTGTTCCATGCTCTTGCTATTTAGAGTTGTAGCAAATTTATATTAACATCTCAGTAATTAAGAAGAAAACATAAATTACCAAGATTTGAGCTCTTTAGAGTCTGAATTACTGTATGTTGATAACTAAAGTTTTACACAGGTATTTAAATGCTATACTCTAGCCATATAGTTTTGCCTCTTGTCAGTTTGTATGTGTGCTGTGTCCAGCTAAGCCCTCTGTCCCATATTGCCTTGGAAATGTTAAGAATTGTTTCCGTTACATCTGTGAGGCTAGTATCTGATCATTTTAGAGGAGGATGTTTTCTGTCCATTAATAAATTTATTCCGTGAAGTATGAATTTCTTAGCTTCTTTACAAAAGTAATCACACAAATGTAGTTATATTTTTTTTTGAAAAACCTTTTGTATTCAAATGTATTTAGTTCAACAACCGGACCCAAACCAGCCAAAGCCAGAGGGAGCCCAGATGCTGGCCATGCGTGGAGAGCAGCTAGGGGTGGTCACGAATTGGCCTCCCTCCTTAGAAGCTGCACTTCAGCGGTGGGGGACCATCTCCCCAAAGGCGCCCTGCCTGACCACCATGGATACGAATGGAAAACCCCTGTATATCCTTACCTACGGTAATTCTTTAAGGGTTATTCATCTCTCATTTTGCTTGTTCTTGTACATGACATCTATTTAATGTGCAGAAGGTAAATTTCTTTTGTTGTGGCTAATTTATATTTGTCTTGGTTATATGTTTCTGATGCAGGTGGCATGTAAAGGAACGTGTTAAAAATTATTTGATGTCAGTATGAAAATTTACTTGGTTTTCAAAATTTAAAAGCAGAAATTGATCCTTAAAGCAGTAATCATAACTCAGATACTAGATTTTACCTCTTGAATATCTGTGATTTTGTTCAATACTCTGAACATGGATTGATAGACCCCCCCCCCCGAGTTTTTCAATGACACAGTCTCAAATGCTGCTATCCCAAATGTTGAAATCAAAAGGACAAAATCCCTAGGGACTAAAACCTTAAAGGCTCAAAATCTCAAAAATGTAATTCTGGGAAAAATTTTTTGTTTTGTTTTTTATTTTTGGACAGGTCTTACTATGTTGTTTGTTTATTTATTTTGATTTTTTGAGACAGGGTCTTACTATGTAGTTGAGACTGACCTGGAACTCACTATGTGGTCCAGGCTGGTCTCAAACGCACAGTGATCCTCCTGCCTCAGCCTCCCGAATGCTGGGATCACAGGCGTGTGCCACCACACCCGGCATTATTATGTAGTTTATGTTGGCCTCAACGTGTAGGGATTCTTTTGCCTCGTCTTCCCAAGTACTGGGATTACAGTCGTGCACCACTGCACCAGACTCGGGAAACATTTTTGGAATTCTTTAAAAGACACTTATTTATGTTTTAAAGGGGGATTGGAAAAACAAAAAGAAAACCTCTTACAGCACCTTTTCTGTATTTCATAGACCACTTAACCCAACTGGTAATAAACATTTTTGTAAGCATAAATACTCAGGTTTGTCAATGAGATTCAGACCTGTTCAACAATTCCACCTACTGTACATGAACAATATAAAGAATAGGTCAAGAAGGAAAGTGTATGGATGTGCATCATCATGATTGGTCATTCCATGCACCTAGCTTTTATACCTGGGGTTATCTAGAATACTGCAGTGGACAGCTCAGATCTTACCAAATAAAGAGAAAACCATGATGTGTCATTGCTGCATTTGCCAACACCCAAAGAACTGAGATCTTGAGAAATTTTATCTCTTACAAATAAAGGTGTACAAAAAAGACATCTCTTCATTTGAGGAAATTTCAGCATTTTTGCTTACTATAAAGTCAGTGCTGCAATAATGCACTTTTGTACTTTCTCAAATTTGAGAGCAAAATTAATTAGAACTGTCTGAAAGTTTTTACATGATTAATAACTCCATTATTGGAAATGATGTGAAGGTTTTATATATTATAGCAAGTTGTAAAAAATAATGCTGACAATTTTAAGTAGCAGGAAAACTTAAAAAAGCCTGAAGATGTTGTGGAGTCCAAACTCTGATGAACCTGGAGTTCTCGCGTCCAGGTAGCGAAGGGAATTTCTTTCCCAGCTCTTAGAGAACATTGCCTTCTGCCTTTGTTCTCTCAGGATCCTTGGCTCGTTGGATGGTACCATCACATTGAGAGTGATTGTTCGCACCTAGCCTGCTCACACACTGATCTTCTGTGGAAACTGACACCCCTAAAATAATGCTTGACAACATTCTGGCTATTCCTTGTGCCTGACGTGATGCAGCTATCCCTTATACAATCAAAAACATACATACAAATCCAGGCCGGGGATTTAGCTCTGCCTGCCTCGCAAGCGCAAGGACCTGAGTTCGATCCCTGGTACCAAAAAAATACATAAAATTTAAAAAGTATAAATCCATTCCCCAGAATTTTTTTTTTTTGGTCCCTCTTGCATAGTTCGTTTGCGCACGCGTTCTCTCTCTCAGGTGCGCACTCTTTCCCTCCCCCCCTCTGTCTCTGTCTCTGTCTCTCTCTGCCTCCTCCCCTCCCAATACAGGGATTTCAGTATTTGGAATTTTTATCTTTCAGGGTTATGATCTTTTGAGATTTTAGATTTTATGAATGTTGATCTTTTGAGATAATGGCATTCAAGATTATGTCTTTCAGAACTGTGAGTGGCATTATTTTGGCATACATCACTCAGAAGAAACAAAATCTCTATAATACCTTTTCAGAAAGCCAGAGAAACAATTTCCTGTAATTCTTCATTCAGTAAAATTAATTCAGTTTGTAAACTTTTTGCAAGTAGTTAGGTATACCAGAGAGATACCTTTTTGTCCAGCAGATAAGAGGCCACACAGAAAGCAGATTCAGGTTTTATTTTCCCCCCACACGGTATACTTCAGTGTTGCAAAGAAACAAGAAAAATAAAAGACTAAATGTGTTTTAGTGAAGTTAGATGGCTTTTTTTTTTTTTTTTAACTTCTGGTTTTGTTTTTATATCTCGGCCAATTTTCTGATTGTTAAGTAGAAAAGATACCAATTTATACATTAGCCATCAAGGCCGAGAGCCAAGTGTTATGTTAGTTAACTCCTGCAACCTACTTGTAAGTAGAGCCCGTCATCTTGGGGATGGAGCTCCTAGAGGTAGCACTGTAATGCTGCACATTACATGGACCACAGTAGGGTTTTTGTGAGGAGCATATTAAATTTAGGAATATGTGTTTCATAGCCCCGTTGCTTTTGTGGCTTCTCTGGGTAGTTTTAAATGAATGGATAATGTGGCCCACAATGCAGCATAAGCTTGATTTATTCCTTTTTTCAATTACATTCTTTTATTCAAAGAAGATAGAAGACTTTTCTGTGTGACCCTCATATCTGGCCAAATTTAACCATAGAGTTTATTATGTACTTGTAATTGCTGCTTTTTGACTATCACTTGCAAGGCTCTCTCTGTGTCTGTCTGTCTGTCCCTCTCTCGCCAGCCTGAATACTAGCACATGCATTCATCCTAAGAACCAACAGGGATTCACTGACATGGCTCTAAGGCTTGGGAAGGCAAAGATGAATAAAACACATTCCCAGTGGATTTAGAATCTGGACTGAAAGAACTTACACTTTTTTTTTTCCTCATTGAGTTTATTCGTACGTTTTAGGTACACAGTACAGTTACATTCATCATTGGGATCCTGTACCTTTACATGATGGGTCTTGGTTCTCATTTTTTTCCCCTTGTCCCTGCCCTCCCTTCACCCCCTCCTCCCTTCCCCATTTACTAACATTTGAACTTACACTTTTCGGATGGGCTGTTGAACAGAGTAGTGCTTGTTTTCTTCCCTTTGTTGCAAGGTTAAGATAAATTTCAGGTATAAGACACAAAGTGAATATTACATATGAAATTTTGGATTCATCTAAGTATCGTACCTGCAATCATTAATGGCTAATGTAGAAATCAATTTTATCTTACTGTATTTTAATCTTCTGTATTAGTTTATACGCTGCTAGGCCGTCTTTTTACTCTTTAGAGGGCTGTAAGAAAGTAATGCATTTCCAGATAAGGTTCATAGCTTCTCGGAACATAAGATGCGCATTACTGGTACAATACTATGTGTTAGCTGTATAGAAACATTAAACTAGATGAAGTAATCATTGGACATTGCCAAAGAGTCAGAAAAAATGTTCATCAGAAAAAATGTTCATTGAATTTGAATTGTTCTAATGCTGAGTAATTTGTTTTAGCTGAAGAGCTGTATTTAAATGCTTGTAGTTTACCCTCAAATCCAACATTTTACTTTCTTCCAAGTCATAGGGAAAGAGTATGCATGAAATTCATAATCTTAATAAAAATAGTGCTATACATTTAACTTCTCTATATAATGCCTTACCTAGAAGAAACTTGAAAATGTCTTCTGTCTCCTCTTGGATTTTATTCATTTATTTATTTATTTATTTATTTTTTTGGTTTTTTGAGACAGGATCTTACTATGTAGTTGAGACTGACGTGGAACTCACTATGTAGCCCAGGCTGGTCTCGAAATCACAGCAATCCTCCTGCCTCAGCCTTCCGAGTGCTAGGATTACAGGAGTGCGTCACCATGCCCGGCTCTCCTCTTGGATTTTAGTGTCTCTAAATTTATTTTGTTTTTCTACCAAGCAAATGCTCTCATTTGTCTTCTAATCTTGTTTCTCTTCTTATTTTAATAGTTTAACTCCAGATGTTTCAAGTAGTGTAGATGCCTGAAATAGATAAGCACTGGGCTTTCTGCACCCTTTTTAGTATTTTGTGAACTCAGTGATTTATCTTCTCGAGCTCCCACTGCAATTTTATGGCCTCTGTGCCTGTGGTAGCTCTGAGTCCCTCCCCTTTTTTACCCACCTGCCCCTCCCCTTTTTTACCCACCTGCCCCTCCTTAGCACATACATTCTCTGTGTGGTTGTCTGTTCCTCTTTCAAATCCAAATCAAGTTAAAATTCATGTGTAGTAAAGTAATGCTTCATTTATCAGTAAGGAACTGTTGGATTTTCTCTCATCAGCTTAACTTACTGTCTTTTGTTTATGAAAAATGCTAGGTGTAAAATAAGTACATTTCAAGAATTTTGCCAAAGGTTAGTGTTTATTGTAGTCTTTAATGACTTGAAACTATAATTCCCTTGTGTGAATTTATGATGTTGACTCTATGATTCTCAGCTGACAAGTTGAAACTTGGATTAAACTGTAGTGGTGCTAATTGATGGAATTAGCTAATTGATGTATTTGGATAGCTGTAATTCTAGCATTAGGAAAAATCCAGGATTTTAAAAATTCATCAAAAAGTTCTTTAATTTACCTTTTGCATTACAGTAGGAAAATATTAAAAATAATATTGTTCTTTATTATATTCTTACATTAACGTAACATGTAACACCTTGACTACTTCTGAAAAATTCTTAGCATCTGAGTCTCTGAGAGTAGCTCATAAAAGGCCTTTGTGTTCAAGAATGCCTTTCAGATGGTAAAGTCATTTTTATTCCCTCTCCAGCCGTTCACCATCACCTGGATAAGACTGAGTAATCTGGCAGGGCACAAGGTCAAGAACTGAAAATAGGCAAGTTCTTCAGAGCCTGCTTTTTTCTAAAGCTCTTAAAAATTTTAGGAAAAGAGCTTTAAAGCTTTTAAAATTTTTGTTTTTAATACTACTTTGTGATGATTTTTTCAGCAGTTCAAAAATTAAAGATGGTTCAAATTGCTTACCATTATGTTTTCTACACGTGAACTCCCCTTTCACAGCTTCAGAATCCTGGGCTTAGGGAAATTTGAAGTTGAGAAACTCGGCCTTAGAAAAGATGGGAATAACTTATCAGGGCTGAGTTTGTGCCCATTCTGATCACATAAGACAAGGTCCAATAATGAAGGATACAAGTCATTGGGTACAAAATAAGTCAGTGGTACTATGGAAGTGGCCCTGCTGCAGCTTAATCCCTAGAAATATTCCTTATGACTTCTATAATGAAAATTCTTTGGTTTTGCTCTACAGACTTTATATGTTAAGTGGAATTTTGCTTAAAATTGGGACCTCATTGAGATATTCAGTCTTCTCTTGATAAATCAGGATTGTTGGTACTTATTCCTCATCTTGATTCCAGGAACTTAAAATGAGTGGGTAAACGTTATCTCTCAGAAAGGATTCTGAAGATTTGCCCTGTTCCTGGGGCTGTGCTGTAGAGCCTTTCGACCACACAGCCTGTCAGCTCCTGCCCAGGTTATACACAGGGCAAAAGATAGCCAACATTACGTTTTTATTTATTATTTGCTGTCTGTCTCGCTCCTGAAGTTTTGTTTTATTTTTTATCTTTATTGCTTATTGGTTCTAGGTTTTTTTGTTTGTTTGTTTGTTTGCTACTGGGGATCAAACTCGGGTCCTTGCGCTCACAGGCAGGTGGTGGAACCACTTAGCTAAATCCCCAGCCCTTTATTGTTTATTGGTACATTTTAGGTGTACAGTACAGATACATTGATCATTGGGATCTCCTACCTTTGCATGACTTATCTTGGTTCTTGTTTTTCCCCATTCCCCAGCTCTCTCTTCAGCCCTCCACCCTTTCCTGTTTACAAAAACATTCCTTCCAGGTTTTTCCTTTTCACACAATTTTTCTTTTCCCTTTCCCTTACTCCTCCCACTCCCTCTACTCTTTTAGACCTTTTCTTCCTATTACACAATATCAATTATACATTTTGATCCTAATTTACACTTTGTTTTTCACACCAGAGAAACTGTTTGGTATTTACACATGTGTGATGTTGCTTAAGAGTATGTCTTCAATGTGTATCCACTTAGCTGTACATATCCCTAGTTTCTCATTCTTCATGGCTGAGTAGTACTCCATTTTATTTTTAAAAAACATATTTTTTATCCAGTTTCCAGTTGATGGGCAACTGGACTGTTTCCAAATTGTAGCTATTAGAAACTGCTGCTATAAACATGGGTGAGCACATATCACTGTGGTATGATTCTTTTAATTCTTTTGGGAAGACACCCAGCCCAGAGGAATAGCTGGGTCAGATGGGGCTTCTAATCCTAGTTGTTTAAAGTATCTCCATGTTGATTTCCACAGTGGTTGCACCAGTCCGCCCTCCCCCCCAAAATAGGAAGGGTTCCTATCTCTCCACAGCCCCACTAGCGTTTGTTATTGGTTGATTTCTTGATAGGAGCCATTCTTACTGGGGTGAGGTGGAATCACCCCAGTTTTTGACCCTTGAATATGAAGTTTTGTTTTCAAAACCTCTAATACTTATCAGTTGCTTTTATTTCCAGTTTCTAATCTTGCCAGCCTGTTGCCCTTTTTGGTGACAGTCCTCTCTTAGTTACTGGCAGACCCCATGTAATGGAAGCAAAGTAGATCCATATGCAGTAGACTTTCAGATGGGGAATACTCCTGAGATAAGTTTAGTTTGAACAGAACTGAAAATGCATGTGTAAATGGTAATTATATCTTTATACTTTGTTTTGATAGGCAAACTATGGACAAGAAGTATGAAGGTGGCTTACAACATTCTACATAAATTAGGTACAAAGCAAGAACCTATGGTGCGACCTGGAGACAGGGTATGTACTGCTTACATTGTTGGATCTGTAAATCGTGGCCTTCTATAGATAAGATACCTTCTGATTTAAAACCCCAGTGTTCAGCCCATTCTCCTGCTATTACTATGGTGTAAAGCTTTCTTCATGTTTGCTAAGAACCAGGAGCAATTACATACAAAATGTCATTTATTCTTCACAGCAACTTAGTGAGTCATGTAGTTTTTCTCTGATCTTATGCCCAAGGCCCTTCAGCCTAGAAGAGCTAAGTATCTTCCCAGGTGAAGGTGCGTGGCCGGCATTCAAACCCATTCTGTCAGCCTTTGTCACCCATGTTGTCAATCACTGTCATATATACAGTCTCCTAATTTGCAGTGCACTTGTATCACTGAACGGGGCAGGCAGGATAATTACATTTGAAATATGTTTTATATTACTGAGACAGACAATCCTGGAACCTAACCATCACTACAGTTTTTCCCCAGTGTTAAATTTCTTAATATATGCTCTTGCCTTCTGTTGGAAGACACATTTTCATTTTATTCTTAAAATAATCACGCAGATTACAGAGGACAGGTATTAGATTTTCATTCTAATGTTACACTTGAGAAAAACTTTACACCCCAATTTAGTCTTGGAACTTTATTATATAGAGTTGTTTTGTTGCCTTTAAATATGCTGCATTTTTTCCTTATTTATTTCTAGGTACTTTAGATGCCTTGATATACCTTAGGACTACTAATAAATTATATAAAAACATTACATAGGATGCCAGAACTCAACAAGAATGTGTGCTGTACTTAAGAGATATTGTGGCCGGGCGTGGTGGCACACACCTCTAATCCCAGCACTCTGGAGGCTGAGGCAGGAGGATCGCTGTGAGTTTGAGACCAGCCTGGGCTACATAGTGAGTTCCAGGTCAGTCTCAACTATATAGTGCGAACCTGTCTCAAACCACCCCCGCAAAAAAAGAGACGTTGTAAATACATCAGCCTGTTATGAAAGTTTTCAGAAGATTGCTACAGCTTCAGAATACTGTGGTGGACTATGGTTCTGTCCAATTTTTTATTGAATAAATTTAGTCTCTAGCTTTCACAAGTTTTAGGTGTAATACTTCCCAATTATAAAATTTACTACAAAGCCATGATCATCCCAATAGTGTGGTACTAGCCTGAAAACAGACTTAGAGACTTGTGGAACAGAAAATGAAATTACTTCAACAGGGTGCTGAAATATTCAGTGGGAAAGGAGTCTTTTCAGCAAACAGGACTGAGAAAATTGGATATTCTCGAGTATATGAGTGAAATGGACCCTCACCTAACACCATTTTTAAAATGTCAAATGGGGGCGAGGGATTTAGCTCAGTGGTTCTGGTGCCTGCCTCACAAGCGCAAGGACTGGAGTTCGATCCCCCATACCAAAAAAACAAAAACAAAAACTCAAGTGGACCAGATAACTAAAATATAAAGGCTAAAATGATATAGTGCTAAGAAGAAAATAGAGAAAAAGCATCATGATGTTGGATTCAGCAGTGATGATTTGGATAAGACAACAAAGGAAAGTCAATAAAAGAAACAATAGACAAGTTGGATTTGCTCAAAATTAAAAACTTCTGCGTACCAAAAGGCATTATTTAGAAAACAAAAAGGCAACCTACAAAGTGAGAGAAAATGTTTGCAAATCACGTTTGATAGGTTGGCATTCAGAATAAAGAATTGCTAGAATTGAACCACACTGGCAAGAATTCCAATTTAAAAAATGGAAATAGTCATTTTTATGTAGAAAACTTACTGAGTGTAAGCAAGTGAAAATATGCTCATCATTTCTGACTTGAGAATTCCAAATCAAAAATCACAGTAAGCTATCACCTCACATAAGAATGGATCTTTTCAGAACACAAAAGGTACCAAGTGTTGGGAAGGATGTGAGAAATTGAAATCCTAGTCCACTGCTGGCGGGAAGGTTAGAAGACAGTGGTTACTCAAAAACTATGTATGGAATTACCACTTGATCCATCAGTTCCACTTCTGGGTATAAACAAAATAATTGAAACAAGGTCTCGAACAGATACTTGTATATTTCTGTTAGTAGCATTATTAAGTGAAAAAAATGGAACCTTAATGTCTGTTGATTGGATGAGTGGATTATCCAATTATGGTGCTTACATTGAATGGAATATCATTTAGCTTTTAAAAGAATGGGATTTCCTTTCCATATGCTACATGGGTGAAACTTGAAGACATTAAGCTAAGGGGAATAATACAAGCACAAAAATTACAAATATTGTATGTGTCTATTTAAATGAAGTTGATTCTTAGAGACAGAAAATGGAGATTGCCACGGGATACATTGCAAATGATGCCTGCCTTTAAGCATCTTTCAGTATTAAAAAAGCACACATGGATAATTAGCTTTTGTATAAACTGGAAGGTAATCAAATATCATACCACACTTCTGTAATCCCAGCTATTTGGAAGGCTGAGGCAGGGGAATGAGTTTAAGCTCAGCCCTTGTCTCCAAAAATACATAAGTAACAAATTGAAAGTAATACAGGTTCCCCAAAGGTAGTGAAAGATACAGTTGAATTATTGAAAGTAAAAGAGGTTGTTTTCATTTTGGGGCATATGTAGGATCAGAGAAGTCTTCTCAGGGAGCAAAAAGTAAGTCTGTACCAGGAATAGTGTGAAGAGAAGGTCAGAAGGGAAAGTTTGTTTATACAAAGGGAAGAAGAGGGCGTTCATTTGGAGGGTAGAGCTGGGTACACAGAATCTTGGAAGGAAAATTTAGGAGGAAAATGGAAATCAATTTGATGTTAAAGGCTTTTGCACAATCAGGAGTGTGGGCTTTTGGCTCCTGATTTCTTGATGTGTGTGTGTGCGCGTGCGTGCTCTGGATAATAAGCTGCAGTAAAATAGCAAAGGCAGCATAGAGAAATGAATGAAAAGAAACTTTTCAAAGAAAAGAGTCATCTGTATGGTTTACAACTACAACAGGATCTGACTGATTCACATGTTACAGGAAAATAATAAAAATGATATTAAAACAAAATAATTTTGATTCTGAAATGTTCGTTTAGGTATTTGACCTTTTTCTGTCCATTATTTGTAATATTGTTGAGAGCATGCAGTAGTGTACAATTTTACATTCTGCTTTTATTCACTGTTCTTATAACATGACATTGAATCACATTTCAGTACAACTCTGCAAAGTTCTATTATACAGCCCTATCAGCACGATCTTTTAAATAGTGGTAAACTGGAGGGATTCTAAGTCCTGGATGAAATCAGTCTCCCTTGAGCAGATGCTCTGATGAGCGGGACAAGAGCCAGACCTGAATCTCTTCTTGGGAAGGGATTTCCGCAGGCTGGCTCTGGGAATGTCACTTACTTCTTTGTCTTCTTTGTCTCCTTCGTCTGCCCTTGAGGAGGAGGACTTCAGCTCCAGAATTAGTTTCCCGGGAAGAGTAACAAGCCTGTGTTTAAGTGTCCCTTTGTGAATGGGTACAACCATCAGTTGTGGGTGAAACTTTGTCTTGCGGATTTTTTGCTGTGGTTTGGTCAGCTTCCTCGAGCCTTTTGGTCACTTTCAGGGGAGGAAGTCATACAGCAGCGGTAACCTGCCAGCTTTGAATTGAACGCTGCTTGTTCGTTGGATCTGAAAAACATGCTGTCAGCACTCAGTCAAATGAAGGCAGAACACTTGTCGCTAACGCAAACCTCAAAGAGTTTTTAAAAGTCCTTGACTATGATTTGTATGCATAAATAAATCTTTTTATTCCTTCTCTAACCTTTCTAGTTGATAAAAACTGCAAGAAGATCATATGGAAATAACGTGATCATATAATTCCCAACTTTATTTACTTTTGTTTCCCTCAGCTGTTCTAGATCGCCTTCTTGCTAGAGTGACTGAATTTAAGATACAGCCCACTTCCTCCTCAGCTGCCATTTTAATCTTTGTGTGCCCCCCCGCTTAGATATTGCGATAGTAGAAGGCCCTGTTTGTACTGAAATTAATAACTTCTAATTAGAATATTCTTAAAGTAAATAATTGAAGTTCCAAAATGAGCTAGTGCAAAAATGATATGTGGATGCGAAATCGGGATTTATGTGCCTGTGCGAACATGGGTAACTTAATTGTCCGTAAGGAAGAATAACAGTAATGGCTGCAGCAACACGTGAGAGGAACTTCTTTTAAAATAAACGCAATGGGGATCCAGAAATAGGTTAGTCTGCTAAAACTGTATGACAGAGGAGGCTTTCTAACTCCCAAGAACAGCGAGCTTTACGTACGGTAGTGTGCATCAGGGTAACGAGAGCAAGGTGAACGTGTTTTAAATTGGCAGCCGTGAGGAACCTGACAACGTTTCGGTTCGTAGCAGCCTGTGCTGTCCTAAGATGTACTGCCCAGTAGAGTTGTAGCCATCTTAGTCTATACCTATTTTCTGTGTTGCTTTTATAGTGGTGAAATTGCCTAACAATGTATTTCTCAGAATTGCATGACCGTTAAATCCAAGTTAATTTTAAAGTTATGGGGAAATTAGATGAAATAAATGTAAAAGGGAATGTTGCCAAGCATATTTGAGAATCATTCAAATAATAGGGAACATACCAAAACACTGACAGGTAGGTAAGAGCAATGAAAAACTGTTGATATGAGAACTAAACAATTACACGGAGCAGTAATCATCCCTATACAGTACTGCTAAGGACTGTTAGGAAACACTGAGAAAGGTTACCGTTATTTGGTGCCAGTGTTATTTGCTGGTAATGTGTACTGTCCATACTTGTAAGACTCTTTGATTATTCTGAGATTGGTTAAGCTTGACAGAGTGGGGCTGGCTGGAAGCCATATGCAGGCGGTTACTCATTGAAAATTTGCAATAGTAGACGACTAAAATGTGTGCATATCCAAGATTAGTTAACTGCTGTTGCTACAACTACCAGGATCAATAATCTGCGTTGCTACTAGTAGTTAACACTCACAGATGCGTGCAGTGTGTCAGGTGTCACACTAAGCTCTTTACACGCATTCCTCTCATTTGAACTTTATCACAACACTAAGATACGGTTTCTAGCAATACTTTGGTTTTTCATGTGAGATAACTAAGGCTTACAGAGGCCAAACTTCACATCAAATCTCAGAAGTCAAAAGTGCCATGCGATCTTTATTGAGCTGTCTGGGTCTGGCTCTCAGACACTCAGCCCCGAGCCTACAGAGTAATTGTACAACCATTTAATTACAATTATGATGATGGTGTCAGACTATGAACAGCTGTTTGTAAAGCTCATTGGAAATAGTAAAAATTACTACATACACTATAATTTGATTTATGTAAAAGTATCAATTTGGAAGGTAATATGCAAAAATAAAGGTTTTTGTACTCTGGTAAGAGTATAATAAGTGGTGATTGTTACTGTCTTTCAAATAAAGTGGGAGGTATTAAATACCCATTACTAAAATACATTTTTTTATTCATTTATTTTATTGGTCCATTTTAGGTATACGATATGATGCCTGTCATCATGGGGACCTTGGTTCTTATTTTCTCCCCATTCCCCCGCCCTCCCTTCACCCCCTCCCTATTGACAAAGACTTTGTGTCCATTTTTTCCTTTTCTCATATTTATTCCTTTCCCCTACCCTTCCCACTTCCCTTGCCCTTTGGACCTTTTCTTCCTATTTCACAATTATCTGTTATATATTTTGAACCTTATTTACACTGTCAGTTTCTTACACCAGAGAAACTATTCTGGATTTACACATGTGCCCTATTTATTTCACTTAAGAGGATGACCTCCATAAAGTGCATTTTACATAGAGTCCTCCGTTTTTATTACAGCATCCTTCCTTCCTTAGAGTTTATTCCTGCCCTCTGAGGAGGGATAAATTCTGCCGTGAGGTCTTAGAAAGTCTATCTGGCCCTTCCTCCAGGTGGCGCTTGTGTTCCCTAACAATGACCCTGCTGCATTCATGGTTGCGTTCTATGGCTGCCTGCTGGCTGAAGTGGTCCCTGTGCCCATCGAAGTGCCGCTCACAAGAAAGGTAAGGGTGTGGCTTTCATCCATTATTTGAAGCAAGGGCAAGGCTGGGTGGCAAATGAGTGTTCTGTTGGGTAAGAATGTGCAGATACAGCTGAGCGTGGTGGTGCACGCCTCTAATCCCAGCTCTCTGGGAGGCTGAGGGAGGAGGATTGCAAGTTCAAGGCCAGTCCCGGAAACTTAGTGATGTAGCAATACCCTGTGTCAAAATTTTAAAAAGGCTGTGGATATAGCTTAGTGTGAAGGCCCTAGGTTTAATCTTCAGTACCATACGGGGAAATTGTTCAGACAACAGTTTCTAAAACCACTTTTCAACTCAACTGGATACAAGTCAAGATGCGCCAATGTGTTCTTGCTATTTCTGAGGCTCTTAGAAAGATTTTCATCAGTTATCCCTGTAGAGGGAACAGTTACACACACAGCATGACTTACCTGCAGAGTGTGTTTTTTCCCAGCAGTGGAGTGTAAGCATATGTGGTAGCAGAACACAGAGCTATTGTCAGTCAATAGAGAATGCTCAGCACAGTGACACATGGTGGCCCATGACTGTCATCTAGCACTCAGGAGGCTGAGGCAGGAGGATTGCAGGTTCGAGCTCTCTTTGGGCAGTTGAGTAATTTAGCAAAAACTGTTTTGAAATAAAAGGTATGGGATGTAGTACAAAGGCTCTTTGTCCAATCCCCAGTTCTGCAAAACAAGGGGAAGAAAAAGGGAAAAAATCACATTCCATGGTATCGGGTAAACTACAAAGTCAGAGAAATGATAGCGGTGTTTTTAATCTGTTTTTATTGGAAGAGGTGGCAATGGTTTTCATTCAGAAGCCTTGATGTTCTTATGTCCCAAGTTTACCTGGGGTTCATCAGATCTCGTTCTATAGTCAGGATAACTAAGCTTTATCTTACAGCTACCATCTAGTCTAGAGTAAAGAAACTAATCTTTCTTCAGGGCCTGCATGGGTAATGTGTTCATGTTTCAGACTTGGCTCTTTGTATGAGAAGCGGGCGAACATGGGGATCCTTTTTAATATGAGGAGGAAGGTTTGCCATTTTAATTCCTTATATACAAAGCCAAAGCATTCCCTGCTAGGTTCTGTAAGCGTGTGCAGATGTCAGGCAGGGCTGCGCCCACCCCAATTTCTGTAGGGGTTTGTACCAGCATTCCAGATGTTCAGTAGACACCCCATAAAATGCTTCCTAATTTTTCCAATTTCTGTGATCCACTATTAGAATAAGAGTAGAAAAATATGATTTATTTAGCATGACATTCATATCCTCCTAGCTGTTCTATCAGTCCTGTTACTGTCCCAATCTGAAATCTACAATCCTTATCTTCCAGACAGGTATTTCAGTGGTCAGAGGCTTTCTGGAAATAAAGGATCCTGCTCAGGGGTTAGAGCATGAGGCTCGCAATCTCCTGTGTTCTCTCAGCAGTGGTAAAGTGGATTTGGGTGGAACTTGTGGGCTAATAAGCCTGTGGGGCTGGTTCTCAGTCTGAGGCTCAGTACCTGGGCACGTAACATTTACCATCTGCATTGGTCACATTCCCACTGGGATGAAATACCGAATACCCACAACTTGAAGGAGGTGCAGTTTATTTTTGACTTAGTTTTTGTGTTTCAGCCCATGGTCGGCTGTCTGTAGGGCAGAAATGGCATGGTAGAAGGGGATGGTAGAGGAAAGTTGCTCACCTTAAAGCAGCCAGGAAGCAGAAGGCAGCAGCCCGGAAATACACCCTCCCAGGCCGCGTCCTCAGTGGTCTGCCCCCAGCTGGCCCTCACCTCCTGACAGTGCACTCAGCTGTGAATCCATGGATTTAATCCACTGTGAGGATGGCCCCCTTGATCTGGTTAACACCCAAGATCCTCACCTCTGGACATGTTAGATTTCTGCGGAGACATTTTGGAATTAAACCGTAGTACAGTCATTCGTAGTAACAATTACATATCTTTTTCTTGTAACATAGTTTAGATTGGTCTATTTTAAATGCATAGCCTGGCATCTTCCAAACCAGGGTAGTTTACGTAGAACAATCATTTGAATAAAGCAGATGGGGGCCTTCCAGGGAACATATGCATGTCGGTCTCTGATGGCAGGACTGCCCTACTGTTACCCAAAATATGAGACAGTTTCAAAACCACGAAGGCAGGCATGTAAAATTCTGAGGAGACACTGTCTGGGCCGTGAAGTGTTTCATTGTAATCCATTTTTAAGATGCTAGGTGATAACAAAAGTAAGGGCCTTTTGTGTCCTGTTTGTTAGGAATGTACGTGGTTCAACTGAAATGCATCAAACACCTTCCTAGCATATGGACTTGAAGGCATAGCAGTGAGGGAAGGCAAGGCGTTAATCGATCACGAGAAGAGTGACAGTTACTTTGTAACTGAGAGCCTTGTGTCCTAGAAGAGCGGTCATTGGGTTCGCTCTGTACACAGCAGGGTTGGCCTGGGATCATGGAACTTCTCATACAGCACTGTGTGGTCAGAAGGCTCTGGGGGAACACGGCAGAGGAGGGAAAGGCTAGGTGTGCGGCTGAGGCCTGTGATGTCTCAGTACGTGGGCAGGCGTGGAAGAGCCACCCACCCTGCAGCTCATTCTCCTCTCAGGATATGCAGTGACAGACCCCGCACAGTGGCTTTGATCTGAGTTAGCAAAGTACCTCAGAAAACGAGCTGTCTTTGAGGAAAGTGCCGGCTTTCTTCCTGTGCCCTTGCTTTGCCAGAATGTTTTCTGAGGAAAAACACAGCCCTGAGATGACTTTGCTTGCTGGTGACTTGCGCTGTGCAGAAGGTGTGGAGAATGGGCAGACTTCCAGGACACCTGGGAGCCTTTCCTAAAGCCAGCGAACCAGTCATATGTTGGGGTTCTAGGGGGCAAAGCTGGTGGGGTGATGGGTTGAACTGTGCAGTTCTAAAAGACGGCAAAACAGAACAGGTCCTCTGAGCCAGAGGGGTTAGGGACCACCAGGCCTGTCCTGCCGTCCCCAGGTTTCTGTTTCAACTCAAGCAGCCACAGAGTCGGTGGTACCTGAGGTATTCTGTCTGTGGTAAGCAGGTCTCTTTTGCAATCTGGAAATGATCCATTATTGCTCCTTAGAAATCAGAGCATTGTTGGGCTGGGGATTTAGCTCAGTGGTGTCGCTGCCTGCCTTGAAAGTGCAAGGTCCTGAGTTTGATTCCCAGTACGAAAAAAAAAAAAAAAAGATAGAAAGAAAGGAAATTAGAGCATTGTTTATTTGCATCAGTAAAGATTTGAAATGTCCAATTAAAGTAGAACCTCTGCCAGGCATGGTGGCTCATGCTTGTAATCCCAGCACTTTTGGAGGATGAGGCAGCAGAATGGCAAATTTGAGCCCAGGCTGGGCAATTTAGCAACTTAAAAGATCCTATGTCAAAATTTTTAAAAATTGAAATAATGCTGGGGATGTAGCTCATTTCAAAGACCCTCTGTTCAATCCTCAGTATAACAAATAGTAGTGGTATTAAGTGAGCCCTCTGAAAGAAGTGACGTAAATATCTTGGTGCATGTTTATGACTTTGTGTAAATGGTCAAGGTAGTATTTTGGTAAAGGAAATCTGCAGAACCAGGACCTTAGGAACCTGGAGCAGGAAGGAGGAAGTAGATCAGTTGAAGGGTGTGTGGGCAACCGGTGTGGCTGACAGCGGGGGTGACTTTCACCTCCTCCGTGATAGGCATGGGGTGGTTCTTATCCGTGTACACAAGCAATGGGTGCACAAGTATGTTGTGTGCCTGTGTGGTCTTGTATGTGCACTCAGGTCTTGGTGCTTGTTTACGTATGTGGTGTGTGTCACATGTGCATGTATGTGTATGAGATGTGATCAGAAGATAGGCTTAATGTTTAAAAAATTATTGATAAAAGACACATTGTCACTAAACTTCCTTAAAATATTCTCTCTCTCTTTTTTTTTTAACACATTCCATTATTTTGGCACTTTCTGAAGCCTTCTGGAAGTTATCTTTATAAAGTGAGATTTAAAAAAAAGTTGAGCTGCCCACTGCCGTCCAGTGGAATGGCAGGCTCCTGAAAGCAGTAGAGAGTCGTCATCCACCTTGTTAACCAGACCTGGCACCCTGCAACTTTTGGCTCTTCCCCAAAGTCAAGTAATCCTGGAAGGTGGTAACCATTTTGAATCAATTCAGGGCATCACGGAAGCCACAACAAAACAACCAGAGACCTTTAAAAAAGAGGACTTACTGAACTGCTTCAAGATGTGGGAAGAACAATGGAATTCGTGTGTTGGAAGTGAGGGGGAATATTTTGAGCAAAATTAATGTCATTGTGCCTTCTTTTACGGTACTAAATTTTAAAATTTAAACATTTGCTGTGTTTTTTGATCATGCCACATTTGCTCATGGTTGGGGGTACTTGGCTCGGTGTGTGAGTGTGTTGACAAGAAGGTTGGATTGGCTAACCACTGATAATTGCTGGTGCTGGATGATGGGCATATGAGATTTCTGTCTCCTCTGTATCTTCGTGTATCTCTGAAAATGTTCGTTATAAATAGTTAAAATTGAACAGCAAAATACATTGATTCCTAAGTTTATCTTATTACTGATGAGGAAATTGTTTTGCCGGTTTCCTTGTTCCACCTGGTTTCATTACCATAATTATCTTTCAACTTCTCCGTCTGCAGTATTTTGTGTTGATTCTGCAGAGTAACGGGTTTAAGGTTCAGCCCTCCATTACATTATTATCTAATATCTCCTGAGAACTAACAAACTATTGAGCCGGCAGTTTGAGTAGGCAAAGGATGATGTTGAATAAACACTGGTAGTTGCATGGTTGCAAAACCAAAATGAGTTCATGGGAGGCAACTTTTCATGAGTTCATGCTTCCTCTCTTAGAAAACCCTCATGTGGACGATTGGTGCTTTTTTGAGGAGCTTGGGCAGGAGTGGGGCGAGCGATAGTCCGCTGACATACCTGTACTGGTCTGTCTACTCCAGTGAGCGCTCAAGGATTTATTGCAAAAGAACCTGCCTGCAAGGAAGGGCCCAGAAAGGGGTGTAACCAGTTGACCCTTTATATGTTGGAGAAAGATTGAAAGAGAGAAGGGTTTGAGCTCAGGTTTGGTGTAATTTTTCTCCAACAGGCTAAACGAGTCATTGACAAGATTTTGTGTTAGAGGATTGGGCTTCCGCCATCCTTGGGGACAGTATTTCTGAGGAGGTAGTGGCCACACTGTATACACATGGCCACACTTCTCTGAGAGTATGACAGCGTCAGCCTGTGTGTGAGAAAGAAACTTCCTGCTAGGAATGTTCTTACTTTTAGGGAGAAAGCACATGGAAAGTGATGTCAAGGTTAGAGTGTGTGTCCTTGGAGGACTTTTTTCATTTTACTGTCTTCCTGAGACTAGGCGTATGATCCCAGCTTTGCCTCAGATCCAGCCAAAGGGAGGCAGCAAGGACCTTGCCAGGGACAGCACAGAGACCCTGTGATCATGGGAAGCCATTGCTGCTGGCCTGGAATGCAGCCTGGCATCCTGACCTCAAGGGCCTGTGCAGAGACTATGAGCACACAAAGAACTTACTTCCGTTTGGCTTTGAGGCCGATGTGCTCCGGCCGATGTCTCATACTGTGGTCTTTGCTGAGGGCTATGTGGGGAAGACTCCAGGCAGGGACTTGGTGTCAGGCATGGTAAGTGCTGCCCTGAGAGGGCTCCCCAGGGATGGGCACAGAGATCTTCCTGCCAGGGGCATCCAGGGAAGGACTTTCTGGAGGCAGAGGAGGAGCGGCTTCGAGTTCCACGTGTGCTGTCTGCAGCAGCATCCTCTCCTATCCATACAGTTTCTAGTCTCTTGTTTTTGGAGTCTTTTATGTACCTGAGTTTATTACATAAATTATCTACAGATGTAAGAAGACAAGATGCAAGGGATGGTGGACTTCTGGCCCCAAGATCACACTGGTTCATCTTATTGTCCACGTCTGTGTGCATGCCGTACACAGGTGTACTTCTGACCCAGCCATTCCCTGCTGGGAGACAGCTGTGGTGCCTGCCTCCTGACTCGGTGTGGTCTTCACACGTCAGGAGAAAGCTGCCCTCTGCTGCTGATGCCCACTGTGTCCCACCTGTCTCCTGCACCTCTGCAGAATGACAGCTTTGCTAATGTGATAATCAGAGTCACATTAGAGTACCTGATTACTGCTTTACCTGGCAGTGCATTACCAGAGGGCAAAGCACCAGAAGAGTGTTTCCAAAAGGGGGCCCACCCTCTCTGCTGAGGCTCAGACCTCCCTCCTTGCTGGGTACTATTGCTTTGTAAAAATTCTATGTAAAGAGATGTGCTCACATCATATTTAAATCTACACTGAGAAAAATGTGAACCAAACACCTAAAAGACGATAGCTTTGAAATTTTAATGCTGCTTAATTTGCTGCACAGGTGAAAACATCACCCTTTCTTTGGTCCATAGTTTTCTGGGGGCAAGACCTACCCCAGAAAAGTCTGCCAGCCAGGCCACTACCAGGCTGTGCTGGGCTCTCAGTGGGGTTTATGCAGAGCCGTCTGAGGAATGCAGAGCAACTCATGCTCTGCACTGTGTTTTAGTTCTGGGAATACCGACTGCTTTGGGGCTTTCATTTTATTTTGTAAACCAAACATGTATGAAGCAGCAGAGCTGGTATGACTGTGGGAATAAACTAATTGAGTTGAACTGACTAGGCTGCTTTCTGTGGGCAATAAAATTCCCACAGCTAGTAGTCCCTGTGGCTCCTGCAGCTAGGAGAGCCCCACCTGCGGTTTCTGCTCAGATGTGACAGTCCAGAACCAGTGCAGGGCAGCTCCCTAGACTTTGGTCTCTGGAGTTGAGGACCTGAAGCTATGACCCACTGCTTATTTCATTGATACGCAATGTGCTCAGAGTGGGAAGAGGTGGCCTGGGCTTCATTCCTGTGGTTGAAGATGGCTCTGCCTCATGCACCTACTCCATCCATTATATTAACTATGTCTCTAGTCTTTGGATATTTAAATGTTAGGCACTTGCTGTTAGTATGTTTAATACAAAATGATTTCGTGGACCCTTTCTGTTTTCCATAGTAATTAACTCTTACAACCATAGTTATACAGTTGAAGATTGAGAGCCAAATATAATTACAAACTTTTTTTTCTTTTCAGCACTGAGGATGGAACCCAGGTGCACTCTACTAATGAGCTGCATCACCAGCCCTTTTTATTTTGAGACAGGATCTCATACAGTTACCAAGATGGGCCTTGAACTTGCTATCTTCCTGCCTCAGCCTCCCTGGTGCAGGGATTACAGTGTACACCACCAAACCTGGCAATGCAATGGCAAACTTGTAATGAGACCAGACAAATGCCACTTTGCATACACTCTTTTCATTTGTCCTATGAAAGGAACCTGTGAAATGGCTGTTTTTTACCCTCATTTTACAGATGAGGAAACTGAGTCCAAGCAACCTAACTTGCTCAAGGTGGCATAGATGCAAGTGGCAAGGCTGGTGTTTGATCCCACATCTGCTGACCCCTAAGGCCCTTTCCAGAGTCTCTAGGTGTTCAGGAAAGGAAAAAGTCTTAGGAATGGTAGTTCACGTCGGCAGTATCTAAGGTTAGGCCGGATTTTTGCCAAGAGCAGAGCCGTATCTCAGCTTTTTAACTCTTCTCTCTTTGTTGCCCTCTCTCAGGATGCAGGGAGTCAGCAGATAGGTTTCTTGCTTGGAAGCTGTGGAGTTACTGTAGCCTTGACAAGTGACGCTTGCCACAAAGGGCTACCAAAAAGCCCAACAGGAGAGATCCCGCAGTTCAAAGGTATGCCAAAGAGCTGGTGAAAGCTCTCGAGCCTTCCAAGTTCTTTATGTTCTTTATAAGACCGCTCCTCATGCATGGGGAAGGCCTGTCAGCTCCAGAACACAGATTTGCTCACCTGTCAGCATCTCTGACAGCACACGTGGCTCCTCAGCTCTGGGTGGCGTGACGTAACTGCTGGTGGCTCAGGTGCTCTTTGGTTGATGTTGTCTTGGATTTGATGACAAAGAGAAACACCAGAGATTTCATCTAGCCTGTCATGGTGTTTGAAAGTATGTCACGTGAATGGAAAGAGGTCTCCAGGCTTTTCTAGGTTCTCCTTACTTAAAGGGATTTATCATTTATTCCCAAGGTTGGCCAAAGCTTCTATGGTTTGTCACAGAGTCCAAACACCTCTCTAAACCTCCTCGAGATTGGTTCCCTCACATTAAAGATGCAAATAACGACACTGCTTATATTGAGGTAAGTCACTGTCTCCTCCCACTTGGTCTAGGTGTGTACTTTGGGAATTGACATGTATTTCTCAACATAACATCAATGCCAGAAGAGAGAGACTCAAAGCATCTCAAATATCATGAGATGCCAGGCTTTTTGCATATCTGCAACCCCAGTATTCAAGGAGGCTGCAGGAGGATTGCACATTCAAGCCCAACCTGGGAAAATAGCAAGACTGTCTAAAAATGTAAAAAAGGGCTGGGCGTGTCGCTCCTTTCAAAGACCTTGAATTCAATCCCCCACCACTGTAAAGAAATAAAAAAAGAAAAGAAAATTAAATACTTTAAGAGGCTGATGTGAGGGGACCAAGACTTCGACAGAATGAGTTTTTCTTTTTCTTTTTCTTTTGGTACTGGGGATCGCACTCAGGACCTTGCACTTGCAATATCAGAGTGACTTTTGCATCATTCTCTCTCCTTTTCTCCTTCCAGTACAAGACATGTAAGGATGGAAGCGTGCTTGGTGTGACTGTAACAAGGATCGCACTGCTGACACACTGCCAGGCGCTCACACAGGCATGCAGTTACACAGAAGGTGTGACCCAAACCTAGACCCCCAGGCACCTTGGTTCTCTGAGATCCTCTGTAGACTGGGATGCATGATGCAGAGCTGCCCTGTGTTTCCCACTAGGAACTGTGGAAGTAGTTCAGTGTGTTACTCAACTAAATGGAACTTAATTGCTGATCCAGCCTGTTGTCTGTATTGTCATAACAGCACCGCCGGACTGGCTGGCTTAAATCACAGACACAGTCCTGAGACTGGAAGTCCACAGCCAGAGGCTGGCAGAGGTGGTGCCTGGTGTGGTTTTCCTTCCAGGTCATCAGTGGCACCCTCCGTCCATCTTCACCCTGCCTTTTCTTTGTACCCAGAAAAGAGGCTGCTCCCCTCCTCTTACAAGGATGCCAGTTACAGTACCACTCTTAGGATCTTTTGGATATTAATTATCTTCTTAAAGGCCTTATCGCCCCACGTAGCCATGTGGGGATTTAGCACTTTGTGCTATGGACTTGAGGTGCATAATTTAGCCCATAATGTTTAATTCCTTGGACATTCATTCCTAGCTGTACATAAATATATCCCTGAAAGCTCAAATTCCCATGCTTGATCCCACTGCTACCCACTGAATGAGACTCTGTAGGGGTGGATTTTCTAGGCTCCACTATGTAGGCTTCCATGGTGAGGAAAACTGGTACTGATGATTTCCTCCCCAGTGGCAGGCAAAGAAGTGAGCAGAAGTAACCATGGTAACAACTGTCAGTTGGACCTAGAGAAGGAAGGGTTAAAACAGATGCCTCTGCACCCTCTGGCTTGTCACCGCATATTCCTGTGCAGGGGCACAAACACAAGAGGCCCTCCTTTCTAAAGGCCTGACCCAAAATGATCCTTTAAATATTCTTCTCTCCCTGTCACTTGCCCCATTGTCCCGGCCCCACCTTTGAAGACTTTTGGTCAAGCATCATAGACCCAGGCGTTGCCTAAAATGGCCTCACTCTTTCTCATGCAAGCTGACAGCAAGGCATACTTCCCTTTCTGGGAGAGATGCAGGAGGAAAATGATAAGAATTGTTTTTGAAAAACAAAGTAGCAGGGAGAGGAGGGGGAAAATAAATAAGTAAAGGATCTGTTTTTAAGACATGGTATGCATAGTGCAGTGAAATGGTAGCCTTTCAAATCCATGATCGCCTCTTGAGGTAGTGGTAGGTTTTCACTGCAGTCTCATGCCTCTCTCTTACACAGCGGAAACCATTGTGAATGTGCTAGACTTCAAGAAGGACGTCGGGCTGTGGCACGGCATCCTGACGGTAAGTGAGCCCCACCTGTCTTGCTGTGTGTCTGCCTTAGGCACATGTGTTCGGGGTCAGCACTCCAGTTTTGGTTTGTATATGGACTGGCGTTGGTACGTCCCTTCATCTCAGGAAGAAGAAAATCTTTGTCAGGGGCCCTAGGTTGATGACTCTGGTAGCTTTCAACAGCGCAAGTTGCTTTCCGTGGCCACTTGATGCTTTTCCGTGCATCAAGGTTAGAGTTATAGGAATAGCCTTCTGACCACTCACGTGACATTCCCTTTCTTCCTCCTCTTTTGGCTTTTGAGATTTTACAGCAATGTTATTAATGTTTTATTCCTGCTTGGGTCACTGTGCTCTACATCACATCTGGCTGGGATGTTCTTATTTTTCTTTCTGTGAATCAATGCTTATGAATATTTAGGGGATCTGCCATGCTGTTATTCCACAAGGGGGAAAGGATTTCCACAAACTTGCCTTTGAAGATAAAAGTTCTGCATAGGATTGTAGACAGATATTTGTCTTATGATTCGTGGTGCCATTTGAATAAGGGACGACAGTGGTAGCATAGAGAAGTCACCTTATTTAAGGCATTTTGGATACTTACATGGAGCATAACCATTTATGATATCCCTGTGTCTTTTACAGATCCTGGTAATTTTTACTCTTCTTTTTCTTCACTCTTGAGATCTCATTTAATATTAAAGCTGCCTTACCTCCTGTGTGTATGTGTTTATGGGTTTCAGAGCGTCATGAACATGATGCATGTGATCAGCATTCCTTACTCACTGATGAAGGTGAACCCCCTTTCTTGGATCCAGAAAGTCTGCCAGTACAAAGGTTGGTCCCTCCTGCGGCTCATTTGTATATTTGTGACAAATGAAGATGGTTTACCCACTCCGCATGAATCACGATTACCTCTCCTTTTCAGTATTGGACAGTTTGATGGTGACATATGTTAACTTCTGCTTTTCTTTGTAGCAAAGGTGGCTTGCGTCAAATCAAGGGATATGCATTGGGCATTGGTAGCACACAGAGATCAAAGAGATGTCAACCTATCCTCTCTCCGCATGTTAATAGTGGCTGATGGAGCAAATCCCTGTAAGTGACAAGTCCAACATAACTTGAAAGACAAGCAAGCATAGAACTCCTAATTTTCCAGGTGTCATTCTTTGTGCTTTGATGTTTCTTTTTGTAATCTTAATAGTAGATAAAAAATTGCCTTAAAATAACCAACTGGTATTATGCACCGTAGCCTAAAGGCAAGATAGCAAATGGTTAAAAACAAGGTTTTTGCAGACAGTAGCCTGAGATGAAGAGAAACAACATAGTTCTATGCAGAGACTTTCTTTTCTAATCCTGTTTTCTCAGCTATAAAATGGTACCCAAATCATAAAGTTTTATGAGGATGAAATGAAGTGATCACCTAACTTACTATTTTAAGGTCTGTGGTAGTTTTATTGGTCAGTAAATTAATCTGTCATTTTTACTGGAACATCATTATCAAATTCTGTTTTAAAAAAACTCAGATAAAGCAACTTAGCCCTTTTACAGAATATTATTAATACTTAAGAAATACGATAGTCAACTGAAACAAGCTAGCTGGCTTGCTTTTGTGGGAAGAGCATATAAAACCAGAAGCCAAGTGAATGAACAAAATGAATGAAAAGATGTTTCTGGACAAATTTGTCACCTGTGCAGCATATGTATTTGTAAACGGTAGAGGCATGCCCTTTCTTAATGCCCAATGCACAAGTGAGCGTATAAACATAATTGCATAAATGACTTTCATTTGTAAAATCTATAAATGTGAAGGTAGTTGAATAGATAATTGTTTTTTAATCTATTTCTCTACAGAACAGTACATCTTGCATAAACCAAAGTAAATTTGTATTGGTTTTTTAATGTTCCTGATAGTTATAGTACCTTACGTTTCCTTCAGGTTAATACAGAGGGAAATTTTGTTTTTTTAGTTTATATTTCTGCACTTTTTGAAACTTGCATACTGAAAATGGTAGAGCAAGTTCCAGAAATTGCATTAAAATAATTTCATCAGTCAGACAATATGTCTTAAGTGTAGAAGTTCCATTTAAAAATTTTTTGAGTTCTGTAAGATTGAGAGTATGATCTTTCATTGTAAAAGAATAATAAATTGCATTGAATAAATCATCTCACCATGCTGCCTAACTCCATTTGCACTCAAATCCTCACTTCAAAACTGTTTTGTATCGCAGGGTATTTGTCGTTGAGCACCATGCTGCGGTTGTCTGATCATTGTCCCTCTCTCCCTCCAGGGTCTATTTCTTCTTGTGACGCGTTTCTCAATGTCTTCCAGAGTAAAGGCCTTCGGCAGGAGGTCATCTGTCCTTGTGCCAGCTCCCCAGAAGCCCTCACTGTGGCTATCCGCAGGTACTGGGTCACCTCAGTGAAAGTAGATGGCCTAGAGTTAAGTCGTTCTTGTTTAGCAGCTAATTTAACCTATTACTCCTAAGAGTTAATGCTTAGTGTAAAAATAAGAACATGAACTACTCTTCTCAAGATTTTATTTGTCTTTTAGATGCTTAGGTTCTTTTGAATCATCTAGATACATTAGTCAGGAAAACATTCTTTGTACAGTCTCATTATAATTCCTGGGTTGTAGAACTCTTGTCTGAGAGTGTGGACAACAGTAATATCTCCTTTATACAAATTACTCTGATTTTCATTTTCCTCTGTCAGCTTCAGGCTTAATTTGGGGATGGGATAGAATAAATGTTGGTTGAAGTAGAATTTTTATAGCAAATTGTATGTCCTTTGACGTGATTTTTTTTTTTTTTGGTCCTCTTCATTTTCTGTCCTGTGGATATTGCATCTTAAAAATAAACACCACTTTCTGATATTTTGAGCAGTGTGGTGGTGACACATCAAGGGGCACTCAAGTCTGTGATGACCAGGTATCCTACAGGTGTCTGGTGTCCGGGGGTACTTTTGCCAAATTCAACATTATTTACAGTGTCATTGGTCATAAATCACTCTGGTCTGCCTCGTGGTGCTCAGAACACCAGGGTGCTTGGGAGAAAAGTGGTTATGGGATGTAGAGTAGGAGTTCTTTTGCCAGAAAGAGAAGACAAAAAGTGTTCAACATAGAAAATAGTCTCAAAAATAGACACTCGAAGGGCCATCTCGATGCTGTCATTAGTTGTAGTTGGTTGTCAGTCATCCCGTCACCTCTCGGCTCTCAACAATAACGTGAGAAAGAAGTGTTTATTTCACAGAGCTCTTTGAAATTTGTAGCATGACTTATTTTTCCAAATTTGGGGGTTCCATCTCTTACTCGGTTTTATTTCATAATGTACTCCAATAGAAGAATGAATGACAGAAAACTTAGAATACAAGTACATAAGTTCTGCTGTATATACAGAAAGATAGGGGCTGTTCAAAAATACACACTGGACGAGTTTCCTTTAGATAGGAAACCTGATGCTTTTAGAGAGTATTTGCTGATCATTACTGACTAGATTGTGTGGCTAAGAAATTGAAAGTCTTTAAAGTATCAGAAGCCACTTTCAATTTGGTTGAACCACAAATTAAATCTGTCAGAGGTTATATGGTGCCAGATCCAGTGAATAAGGTGGACGAGGACGCACCAAATTCTCACAAGTCTGCCTTTTTATGTTATTCGGAAGCAGTGTTTTTGTAAAAGAAATGAAAAAGGACCGTTTCACAAAGTGCCAGGAATGATGAGAGCATGTTTGAAGAGTGGGGAAATATTTTGAGGGAGATTGATGGCAATGTGTATTTTACTTTAATAATTTAAAAAATTAAATACTATAATAATTTTTAATATTTAAACATTTGCCATGTATTTTGAGCACCTCTTTGAATGTTATCACCTTGGCTGAATTCTCACCAAGTGTCCTTGGCAAATTCTCATCTAGCTGGTGTAAATACAACTTTTTCTTTTTTCTGAAGTTGAACTGCTGTTAAAGATAATAGGTTAAGATGGAAAAGGGTCTGTGACTGGAACAATCAAAATATTAGTTTCTAACCCTGAGCCAGTTTTACTGCAAATATTTAACAAGCCTCTGGAATTCTGTTCCTTCACTTTGTATGTGGCGAGCATTCATTCAGCCCTTGCTGTCGATGACCCTGGTGAACCTCCTGTGTGTCTCTTGGGCCATCGCGCACACTCCAAGCTGTGGCTTCTGCTCGGTCTCCCGCATGCCAAGGTGGGGTTGTCCAGCGCTGACTGTGCTTCCTGGGTGCTCAGGGACCATGGCAGCAAGGATCTGCAGCCACTGGAAAGGAGCTGTCGTCAGTTTCTTAGGTTGGAAATACCCATGGGAAGGAGAGCTTAATATGAAAGTGATATAAAAATATAATGAGACTGAATAGACACTGGGACAGGTTTTATCTTCTTGACAGGGAAGAGTTTATCATCGGTTCCCTCAAAGGCACACCTTCCTGTGGTCCTTGGAAATAGAGAAGATTAGAATCCCTGTTTCCAGCGAGTGGACGTGGCGTGATTATGAAGGAATAGATGTGGGTTGTACAATGTAGACTTTTTTTTACTTGTCTGAGCTGATAGGAAATAATCTTAAGTTTTTTTGAAAAATCAATCCCTGTCTGAAAACTGACTACATTGCTTCCAGTGAAAATCTGAGTGGTAGAATACCCACATAAATTATTTCACTTTACATTTTTCCTCAGAATTATGTGGGATTTTGTTCAGTGGCTACAGAAGAGAAAAGCAAAGTGGCCTCTCACGGGTGATCCTTCTATGTTCTGTGGCACTTTTCCGTTTCCTTTCTCAGTGCCAAGGGTCACTCTCCCTAGTGACCATGGTCATCTGGTCCACAGATGGTTCACTGTGCAGAGTGCTAGAAGGCATCCCTCCCCCTCTGCTCCCGCCCACTGTTTCTGTCGGCCTCAGGGAGTGTCGCCTTGGTCCTGAAGCCTGTCCCTAGAGTTCTGCTTATTTGTCTTTATGTTTTTTAGAGGTTTGGGAAGCCAGTAGATGATTAGGATTCAACGTTGGCTCTGTTGGAAATGACCACCTATACCTAGGCTCTTCGCAGTATTTCCATAACCATCCTCAAAACAGGGAAATAAAAGAAAGCACATTTTAGTGGGTAAATCTTGTTCTCAAAAGCAGTTGGGAAAATATGGAGAGACCGTAGACCTGGTAGGAATCTATAGAGTACAAATCATCTTGTCCTCTTCATACCCACGTAACAGTCGTCACATAAACATGCATCGTTTCCATTTCTTCCCTGTTGTGGGAGCCACACAACATGGCCTCTGCTACAGATGCATGTTCTCTCGGAGAATGTGATGTGAGGTGTCTTGTTCTTTCTTTTCCCCTTCTGCTGCTTCCCAGCTTGTCTCTAATTCTGGTTTGTTGCTGTGGTTGAAGTACTGGGGAGTAAACTAAACCTAGGGCTTCTCATTGAGCTAAATAAGTCTTCCTTATTTATTTATCAATTTATATATTGATTGATTGATTGATTGATTGGTTTCGGGGACCAACTCAGGACCTTCTGCTTGCGAGGCAGGTGGCGGAACCACTGAGCTAAATCCCAGGCCCTCCAGATCTTTTTTTAAGTTTTTAAATTTTGAGACAGTGCTAAATTGCTAATCTGAAACTTTAGATCCTTTTGCCTCAGCTTCTCAGAGTAGTAGAATTTTAGGTGTGCAGCATTCCACGTGGATGCTAATGTTATTTTTTTAATTCATTCATCAAATATTTTTTGAATGATTTGTTTTCCAGGCCAAGTTGTAGTTCCAGAGATGCAGCCATAAAACCAGGATGTAGGACATATGGTGATGTAGGACAGAAAGAACACAATCAGCAGCCTGTCAGATAAATGAAAAAAACTTTCATTAGCAGTGAAATTTACCTTTTATTTTTCACTGGGCAAAAAAGAATAGAGTATGCTTCTTTAAGCCACAGGTTGACAAACCGCCTCTTTTGCTTAGAAAATTCTTTAGGAACATGGCCACACGCATGTGCTTACGAATTGCCGGCAACAGCAGAATCGAGAAGTTGTGGCAGAGACCCTTGTGGGCCAACTCCTGCCGTTAGCAGCACGTGAATCGTCTTGACCTAAAACTCAAAGCTGCGCGGAGCTAGCTCATACTCAGTACACCGGGAAAGGTTCATTTCTTTCCTCCTGTACCATTGATGAATAGAAAACACTCTTTTATGGTAAGGAATTCCTTCAGTGAAGAAAAGCCATACTGTCAAAACAGGTAGGAGTGAAATGAAGAAATTCTTCTCTTTCAGTTTTCCATACCTGTGCTCTAAAATCTTTGCTGTATACTCTAGTTTTCAGGCTCTGATAAAATGTTCTTCCCTTGGTAATTCGTTTGGACCATTATTTTTTTCGTTTAAATCGAGACACTCATTTTCCTGAAGGAATCAATTACCCACTCTGCCACTATTCCACTTCATCTTTCTCTTCAATATTCTCTTCGCCCATGACTCTGTTTAATCTTAAAAGGGAAAGCACGTTAACCATGCATACATGTGTAGAATACATCCGTGAGCTATAGGCATAGCTGAACTCACCTTCCCTGGTCTATCACCGGGGCTGCTGCCTCCACAGCTCACATGGTCTGTGACTGCCAGCTTCCAAATATGTGTGTGCTGCAGCTGCTAACTCGGTCCTGTGCCCACACCTGCTAACTTGGTGCTCTGAGTTTTATGGGCCATATTGAAATTTAGTGTCTCTTCCATTTTGCTCTTGGATAAAATAAGGAAAGGCCATAAAAAAATGAGACCAGTTTCATTGTAGGCCATCCTGGCTCATTCCACGTTGTCATAGTTTTAACCAGACGTTGGTAATTTTTGAAAAATATTCATGCTGAGGTTAAGCATCTTTAATTTGAAAACACAAAATTCAAAATGCTCTAAATTTTAAGTTTTTGAATGCTAATACGGTAAAAGTAGCAAATTCCCTGTCTGACTTTGTATGACAGTTTGCTGTCAAAATTCAGGAACAAAACACTTTATGCTGCATCCCCAGAGGAATAAAAGACACCAGCTCCCTTTAGCTCTGATGTTCACACCCAGACTGCCCCTCTCAAGCACACTCCCGAAAGGTAATAATGGCGCACGTGCAGGCCACATTTGCCAGGAGCAGCTTCTCCCCAGTGTACCCGCAAGAGGGCAGGACCTATGGGCGTTGCTATGAGTTTTTGCTTGTCTCTGTGGTATGACGATATTGTGAGAAGCGTCCAAAAAATTGGTAGGTAACAGAATCAAGAAAAAGAAAATTTTTGTATCTGTAGTGTAGCACACCATTACGGTTGCAGAGCGTGTGCAGCGGCATAAGCACAAATGCTTTACAGAAGAGTAAAGACTAACCGTGATGCAATGACTGCCCTGTCTGACCGGAAGATGCAGAGGGAGAAGCTGTTGAAGTTCT